AAAAATAAGCTTTATATAAAAGTGTTGTTAGTCTAGTTAGTCTAAGGCATTTTTGCGCACAGAATCTAGCTAGTCTATAGATGCTTCTATCTAGACAGAGAGGTAGTTAGTTAGGACTAGTAATTAAAAAGCCTAGTTTAGTATTTTCTTTATATATGCATTTACTAAGTTATTTTTACTATTAATTTACTTAATTTTAGTAATTTCCCTTTTTTTATATAATTTATAGAGTAACATAATATTAATTATAAGTTACTTTTTACTAGTAGTGCTTAGCTTAATAAAGTAATTATATAAAAACTTTAAATCTATATAAATTACTACTAAAATTAGTAGTAGTTTAAGTGTTTATATAATTTACTATAAAGTTATACTAAGTGTAATTACATTATTAAACTTTTTAACTATTTTATATAGTTTACTAGTAAAAACACTCTTAGTTACTCTTTTACACTTAGTAGAATTCTAGTGTATAATGTTACCTAGTATTTTAAAGTAGTTACTTTACTTTATATAGTCCTTATTACTTAATATAATTAAGAATTCTAGCTATAAGCTAAGGTTTTTATTATTAGTAAATAATTTATTTATAAAAATAAATAGCTTTATATAATTAAGCTATAATAGTAAAAAGGTAAAACTATGCTTACTATTATCTATCTACTATTAGATTTATGCGTTAAGTGTGTTAATGTTGTTATATAAAGGGTCTATAGTTTATGTAGTAATAGATAAGTTAAATGCTGCCTTTAGTTAACATATAGATATAATATATACCTTTTTTACATATTACTTAATATATTATTATGCAGCATTTTTATTTTTTAAGTTAATTATATAAAGGTAGCTTACTTATGTTTTCTAAGTAAAAACTACTATATTATATATAAGCTTAATTTTTTTACTATTAAACTTAATAAGCTGCTTTTCTACTAAAATAGTTTTACTTTTTATATAAAACTTTGCTTTTTATAGTTTCTTTTTTTTTTTATATAAAATCTTTTATTATAATGCTTAAAGTGTTATTTATTTATAAGCTAGTAATACTAAAGATGTGCTCTCTTTTATTAGTAATTAAGAGGTAAGGGTTATATAAAGAGATATGCATATATAGCTTTTTTTTATAGTAGTTATAGTATATTTTAAACTAATATAGTTCTAATTTAGCAGCTCTATACAAAAGTTATACAACCTAGAGTATTATATTTAGTAGAAAGCTTTAGCGCATCTTCTTTAGTAGCTTTATATATAGCGTGTGTATAAGCTTATTTATTAATTAGATGTATACTTATATAATATTACATAGTTTAAAATGCATTCTGTACATAGCTTTTAAGCTTACTTTTATAGCTAAAAGTAGTCTCTAGCTTATTCTTTAAATAGTTAGTAACTAAGTAAGAATTTTTTTTTTCTTTTTATCTAAGTAGCTAGCAAACACTAGGCAGGATTTCTTATATAGTTAAGTTATTTTACCCTTTACTTTTTATATAAGGCAGAGGTTAAAAATCTAACTTTTATACTTTATTAAGTTATACACTATAACTTTAAAAGTGCTATTAGTAATTAAAGTGTCTATCTTTATATAGTCTAATTTTTTAAATAGTTTTTTAAGTGTAGTAATTATACTATCTATATAAAGCTTAATAAATAAGGCTTAATTATTTTTTTTTTTTAAGTTAAAAATACTTAGTCTAGACTTTATATAGGTTTTCTTTACTTTTTACTTTTTCTAGTATCTATATCTTTTTTTTACACTAGTGCAGCATTGCTATTCTAAGGGGCTTAGTTTATAGTAGGCTTTAGTTCTACTTTTATAATATTTTTATAAGGCTGTTTTTTTTTCCTTTTTTTTAAAAAATCTTTTTATATAAGAATTAGTTTATTTAGGTTATTTATTATAAGTAAGTTGTCTTTCTCTTTTTCTTTATAGTATAGTTTAACCTGTGTATATTAGAGCTTTAGTAGGCTATTTTTTTTTTAATAATAATATTTCTCTCTTTAATACTCTTAATTTTATATAGGCTAGTTTAGCCTTTTTTCTCTTTTTATGCTATAATCTCTAAGCTAAGGGGGAGGTTAAGAACTTTATATGTTATAAAGCTATTATAAGTATTAATTATATAATTAATATTTACTTTTATATAGTCTTTTTAAAGTATCTTTATTACTTTTTATATAGCACTTACTTATATAATAATGTCTAGTAATAGTAAAAAGTTTAAGTTAATTCTTAGGTATGCTCTAAAGACTAGTAGTGTAGGTACTAGACTATATAAGCTAGCTGTGTTATTTAGAGCCTTAACTGCTATCTACAGGATAGCCTTATTATCTATATAGTTACCTAGCTTAGTCTTTAGGATGTTAAACACTTATTAGAGAGGTATGTACACATGCTTAACCTTTCTAACTGCCTAATATGCTTTTATAGGCATTTGCCTACATGTAGCTTTTATAATCTTTACATAAGCTTAAAAATCCTTTAAAGCAAAGTTTATACTAAGGTTATATATAATATAGTTTAGAGGTTCTTAATAAGTGTTAATTTAGCATTTGCATAGTGCATCCTAGGTATCTTATGTAAACATAGATTTTAGGAATGTAGCAGCCTAAAATAATGTGTTTACATTAATAATATATAAAACATTCTTATTATTAATTTATATAACATTAATAATAACTTTATAGTTAAAGTAAGTGTTATTTTTAATTATAAACT